CCCCGGGGGGGGGGGGGGGCGCGAGGGTTGGACTTGAGGATCTACAAGGTCCCTTCCGACCCTACTTCTATGATTCTATGAAAGTCAAATGGTCACAAACTCCTCCAAAACTGTTTTAGGCTGGACATAAGGAAAAACTTCTTTACTGTCTGAGCCCCCAAGACCTGGAACAGACTACCCCCAGAGGTGGTGCAAGCACCTACTCTGGACTCTTTTAAGAAACATTTGGACACTTATCTTGCTGGGATCCTTTGACCCTAGCTGACTTCCTGCCCCTTGGGTAGGGGGCTGGACTTGATGATCTTTCGATGTCCCTTCCCGCCCTAATGTCTATTAAACCTATGAAATTATGAAAAATTCTCTCATAAGGAGGGTAGTAAAGCACTGGAACAGGTTACCTGGAGAGGTGGTGGAAGCTCCATCCTTGGAGGTTTTTAAGATCTGGATAGACAATGCCTTGGCTGGGATGATCTAGTTGGGGCTTGTCCGGCTTTCAGCAGGGGGTTGGATTAGATGACCTCTTGAGATCCCTTTCAATCCTAATTTTCTATGACTATAATGATTACAGTAACTGGCCTAGCTGTGGAAGATACACCTCCCCATATAAACCTCCGACTATTTAAAAAAATCTTTGTGACATTTTCCTGTGTCAGTAGTAGTATATTGCATTAATCAAAATTAGCCATGTCATGTAGGCTCAAGCTGAAGTTCTGATTAGAGGTTCACTGATATATTGGTGCCATATTGTACTGGCATCAATAAAAGGAAAATTAACATCATCAGCTATTGGCTTTTTCTGTCTGATAATGTACTGATAAGTAGGATGTGCTTTCTGGCTGGGGCCCCTGGACACCACTTGCATGTGTGCAGCCGCAGGGTGCACGTAGCCAGGAATGCAGCTGGGCAGCGTGGAGAGCAGTGCTGTGCAGGTAAGTCTGTGGAGGGGAAGGGGCGAGGGGGCACGGGATGCTGCCCAGCCAGGGCAGTGAATGGGACGCAGGGCTGGGATGAGGAGCAGAATGGAGCCATAGGCAGCTGGTCCAGATGGAGTGGGGGGAGGGGGTATGGAAGCAGGGAGCAGCTCCTCGCTGCTGTGTGCACCCCCAGGGGAGGCATGTGCCCCCTTAGATTTATGTACAGGGCAAAGGTAAATGCAGGCTGCCTGCTGTGGGCTCAGGGCTCTCTGTCCTGCTGCCTTTGCCCCAGAAGCCACATGCTAGCTACTGTGCGGGCCGGGAGCGACGCGAGCCCTTTTCCGTGCTGCACGCGGGCTGTGGCCAGCAGCCCGGGCATGCCGGGTTGGAGAGGGAAGGCCGTCGAGCTGGAATTAGGCACAAACGTGTATCGGTAGTTTAAAAGATTGTTTATTTACACCGAGATGGCAGTGGTGTAGGCTGGAAAACTTGCTTCAGTTGCAGTTACAGACAGGAAAGATAAGAGGCGGACAAGAGTTCTAGACTCATGAACTCTAGCCCAATCCGGCTGAAGGCTCTGAACACGCGAGCCCGTCGTGTCAACCGAAGAAAGTACTCGTCCGGAAGAGCTCTGAATAAACTCACACGAAGTTTGCTAGGCTCCGTGGGTTCTTCTGCTCACCCAGTCACACGGAGTTTGCTAGGCTCCGTGGGTCCGGGTTGCCTGCTTTAAATGCACTGGGTCCGTAAGGATCCGCAGCGCTTAGAGATCTTCACACAGCGTGAAGTCTCCTCCTCCCTTGTTTGTGGAGTCCTCCAACTTGGGCGGAAACCACTCAAGCCTCTTATACGGCTAGCAAGCCAATCACTAGCCGCCACGTGTGAATAATTTAGCACTGGCCAATAATGGGACTCAAATTAGCATACAAATGGCAGGAACTCTTTGCAACGAGCATTTCTGTGCTGCAACAAAGAAATGCACCCTGCAAAGAAAGCTTCAAATTGGCGGGAAATTCTCCCTTACACCGAGGTTCTCTTTTGCAGCAGAACACACCACCGTGCAAAGAAGCTATAATTTAGCGGGGACAATTTAGCAGTGCCGAAGCACACAAAAACAAAAGTCACACCCTTTGGGTTGTGACAGCTACATGTCCCCTGCCCCAGGTCAAAAGGCAGCAGGGTAGAGAGCCCGCAGCCCACATCCCCCCTTGTCCTGCTCAGCTCCAGTTAGAAGCGTCCCCGCACTTAAAACTGGTTGTGGGGGCACTTGAACTAAAGGTGGGGTGGTGGAGGGGGGCGCCTGCACTCATTTGATGAGCTTTAGTTCAAGCGCCTCCACCGCCACTCTTAAGCACTGGGATGCTGATCCCCTGGATGAGCTACCCACAGCTCCGTCCTGCTTCTCACCCCGGTCCTGAGGTCCCATTTACTGCCCTGGCTGGGCAGTGCCCCCAGCTGCAGCCCCTGCTGCACTCCCTCCCTCACTGTAGGGTCTTCAACCTGCCTCACCCCACCCACCCCATGTCCCTTCCCCTCCAGACTTACCTGGAGGGAGCTGCTCTGTGCTGCCTGGATACATTTCTGTACATCAATTATCAGATTGGTATCAGCCAATATGCCAGGTGAATAATTGGCTATCAGTATCGGCCAAGAAAACATCAGTGCACCCCTAGTTCTGATGGGCCTGGATTGTACCTTCCAGACCTATTTGCAGAGAAACTTTCCCTGCAAGTGCATGGGTTATCATTCTCCAGGGCACCAGGCTCTCCGCCCTCCAAAGTCTGGGGCTTCATGCATAGTGAGAATAGGGCGAGAGCTGGGACAGACATTTATCCCCCTACAATTCCAGTGTTAGAGTCAATAGTAAGCCTGAGATCTGTGCTATGGCAGGGCTGTGCCTTGCTATGGGAGAGAGCAGCCCAGGAACCTGTATAAAATGGCTCATAGATCCCAAGATCTGGGAGCATGGAAACAAACTTGCCCTTCCCATCTGCAACCGTTGGAAAGGGTCCTTGGCCAGTGATTCATGCCACTTGTGGCCATGTTTTGGGTGGTACATGGTAGAGCAGAAAGCAAAGCAGCAGGGCAGGAAAAGGGGATTAGAGTGGCACTCGAGGAGGGTACAGGACTTGTGACTTGCCTGCCAAAAAAATTGGCCCCACTGGCTAGATGACTTAGGTTGAACAACTGCACTGCGTCTTTGCGGAGCACAGTTGTACACCCCTGTTGCTTAGCTAGAGGGAGAAATGGTGAAATGACCGCATAACTTTGTGTCAGACCAATAGAAAAGATGCAACTCACATGAAATCACATGCCAAAGGACACTTTCTTTTGTATGCAAGACTGGATTTGCAAAACACTTCACCCCTGATCTTTCACCTGCTTAGCTTGGTTCTGGCAGTTTCTTTTAATATGCTCCGTTGACCAGGATTTTGAGGAGGTGGGGTCTGACCCAACTCCTAGAGAGAGCAGTTGCAACATTTCAGAGGACTGCAATGAAATCAGGGTTAGGACTATGGCAACTGAAACTTCTCAAGAATTGAGGGAATAAAGAGAGTAACAAAATCTGCAATGAGAAAAGGAAAAATGAAGTCATGGCAATTCATTTGGAAAGCAATGGTCAGAAACTGAAGTCAGGGTTCAAGCCTCCTAGGGTGGTTGTACATGTGACAGAGGTTTAGTTCTTCAGGGTTGCATTCTATACCCCCTAAACTGAAATGGTGAGTTGTTAATTGAAATAGTGGTTTTTATTTTTCCATCACTGTATATATGTCATTGACCTGGTGGCCGCAAGTGCCTGCTGAAGGCAGAAGTGGCGAGGGGCCTGATCCTTTTTCTTTCCTGGTGGAGCCTGCCCCTTTCCTGCAGCTGGGGGGAAGGGGCATTAATCTGTGCCATTAAATCGGTCATCCTGCCCCTTGACTACAGGAGAGGTGAGCAGGCTCTCCCAAAATAAAGGATCAGGGACCCTTAGCTGACAGTTTGCCTGGGGCTACCCAGGAATGGGCTGACTTGCCCCTGGAGTGGTGCAGGGAGGTGGCAGGAGGGTGGCTGGGTGTGCTGGTGGCTGGAGAAGGTATGGGGATAATGCACGGGGTGTGGGGTCATCCATGCAGGCTGCTAGTTGGCCTGATGCTGCCCCAGCTCAGAGACACCTGATTCAACTCTTCCCTCAGCCCGCCTGGGCTTCCAACACCCCTTGCACTGTCCCCACTGCCCTCTCTGGCTGTCAGCACACCCAGCTGCCCTCCTGCCGCCTCCCTGCACTGCCCCAGGGGCAAGCCAGCCTATTCCTGGGAGGCCTCAGGCATCCTGCCAACTGGAGGAGCCTGCTAAAAGGTGAAGTGGTGAGGAAGGAGCCCAATACTTTTTCTTGGCGGAGTCTGCCCGCCTCTCCTGTGGCTGGGAGATGAGCTGACAAATTAATGGCTGCAATGTTTCAAGTTGCAATGTTGCAGACTAAACTACATCCAGAAGTAGTATAGTTTGCAACCATGCAAACTCATTTCAACCCCCCAAAACTCGCATACGTGTAACGTGTGATGCCATAAGCCACACAAAGGGAAATTGTCATCGCATGTACATGGTAACGTTGTCACATGTACAAGCGCCCCTATTACTCTTTTACTTACTGAGTAGTCCCACTCAAGCCAGTGAACTTATCCATGGTGAGTCAAGTAAATAGATATAGCCCTAAATTTGTGGCTACCAGCACTGCTGTGGAAATAATATGCTTATACACTAGGCAGGGGAGGATGATGATTACGTCACCTTTCAGCTGCCTTTGGGTGGCTCCTGCAGCACTTCTGATGATAATCTTGAAAGCAAGAACAGAATAAGAGGAAGACAAGGACAGCAGGATGGCTGAAACATGCTAAAAACAGCAGCTCCGCAATGAAGCAGCAAAATGCCATCTCACCAATTGATTGTGAGCCACAAATTCAATAGGCTGAACTGCTTTATGGCAGCATGCATGCACACATTACAGCCCTGACTCATGTTCTTTGCTCTCTCTCTTCTCCTTGCATTTCAGAGAGTCTTGCAGAATGTTAACCTTGCCCCATTGCCTTTGTTTCCTGGAGATATTTTGGAAATCTATCAGAAGCCTGCAGTTGACTGACAAGTGTGGTTGGTAAATGGGCTAAGAATAAGCATTTAGTCACATTCTATGCAAATCTCTCATTAATACCTAAAGCTGATTTCTCAAAGACTTCTCGTCCCCACCCCCAAAAAAGGGCTTTTGTGCGATAGGGCTGTGAAAAACAGACCAGATAACAATTAAATCAAAGGCCAAAGGGCCAGATTAGAGGGAGCATGCAGAGTTCTGGGGTAAAGCCCTAACTTCTGTGCTAGAAGTACCTTTTCTTGACAGTGGGTAACAAGAACAGGTGCAACTGAACATGGAGGGTTCCAAAACTATGCTCAGCAGGATTTGGCTTCATCTATGCTTGCAACCAAACATGTCTATGGATGGTTCAGCTGCCAGCACCCTGATCCCGAATGACAACGACACGTACATTTTCTGCACAGGCAAAGCTAACGTGAGCATCCTAGGTGACGCTTCATAAGCAGAGCTTCCCTGAACAGGAAGGTTCAGCGGTTCCTCCCAGGGCACTGTTCCTAGGCCTTGTAATGATGGACCCCTGCTTGCAAGCCCATGGTGGGAGAGTGCTCCCTGTGCTCAGCTGTGCTATCCGTTTTTTCTTTTCCTTTCTGACCTCTGTTGCTTTACTTTTTTTCTCCTCTCCTGAAGGCCTTGGGTGGCTCTGTTAGAGAGAGGCCACCCACTGATAGGGCCAAAATGTAGGCTTCTCACTGAGTGGCGTGTTGTGAGAACTGAGATGCGGACTGGGAAAACAAGCTACTTGCTTGGACATGTCAGCTGTTCTTATGGCCTGCTATGCAATTCTGGCTGCTTTCACTGCTGCCCAGGTTTCCAGGTGAGGGAAGTGAAGAGAAGGGTTTTGAGCATTTCTCCCAGCTGTTGCTTGGTAGAAGTTATCAGCAAGCACCGAGGCACTGGAGATGGCTGCAGACTGAGGCAGAGAGCATTATTATACAAGTTCATTTATGAAAGCAAATCCACACATTCTGAAGAGGCAGACATACAACTGTACATAAAGTTTAAGTGCTGCAGACACTAAAGCCTTCAGGCTTTCCTCTGAGAAATGTTTGCTAGGAAAAGTTTGTTATTGCCTGATGGCATGTAATCAAGTTCCTTTTTCAGGCTCTGTATGTGGTTGCTCTAAAGGCAGGTCACATTGCAATTGCTAGTCATCCTATAACATGACAGCAAACTTACCTACACAAGAAACATTTTTTCCTAGGTTAGACACAAAAAAGAACAAATATTTGTTCATTGCCAGCTACAACTACACTAGTTGATGCCTTAGAACCTCATTAGCGATTGTGGCACAGATGAAACCCGAAAGAAAGAGGAGCAATTTTTATCTGCAGTTTAGCACAAACTACTGAGTTTTGTCTGCTGTCCTGGACAAGCCGTTAGGCCGTGTCTATAGGGAGAAAATACCACCACCATTTCCTCAGCAATGCAGCTCTGCTTGCCGACAGGAGAAGGTGCCGTATAGTGTAGACAGGCTGTGTGTACTCTTACCTACTCATCATAGGATTAAACAACACCATGGTAAAACCACCCAAGCCCTGTCTACAGTACAACCTTCATTGGGGAGCTGCTGTTCTGGAGAGCCCCGTGTCTCTGTTTTCCTAAGACCGATGAGACTTTATGCAGGCCGTTCAGCTTCTGGCTACCTGGTTAGGTCTGATCTCACGGGAGCTGCGTTGCCGTGAAACATTTGCGCGCATCATTGTAAGTGCCTGCTCCGCTTCCGTCTCCTTCCTGGAACGGTTGCTGGACTTGGAAAACTATACTGGGGCCGAGGGGAAGCCTCCAGTTCACACAGGATCACAGCTTTTAATTGAGTGCTTAACGTTCTGGAAAAAAATGGGGGAAAAGATTTTGAACGTAATATTTTCATCCTCCCCCAAAAAATCTGTCATGTGGCGACGGCCGGGATAGTATCACAATTATCCACAAGGATTGATTTGGCTTTTAACACTCACGGACCGCTGAAGGCGTCTCAAAGGCAGGCTGACGTTTTACCCCACTTCTCCAGCTGGTTTTGCAGCGCACGCTGAGCTCGGTGCTCGTGCCCCGGCCCCGAGCCGGGGAAGCTCCATCCTGCCGTGTTCGTAAGGACATACGAGTTGCCACGGACCGGGTCAGACGGCAGGTCCATGTGGCTCAGCGTCCTGTCGCGCGGGGCAGAGAGCGGAGACTAAAAGGGAGAGCGCGAGCTGGGTCTGACACAGGCCTTCTCACCCCCTCTGTCCCGCTCTCCCCGGCAGCCTCCAGCATCTCGGGTCCAGGCTGCGCCCCTCGCTCCCAGCCTCCATCCCCACGGATGCCCCTGCCCTCCATGAACACCCCTAATCCCTGTGACCCCCCACAACCATCGACCCACCCTGCGGGCCCTGCTGCCGGGTCTCGCCCGCGGGTTGGGGGGGGAAACAGCCACAGCAGGGGGGAGCCCTCTGCCAGGGGCTGAGGGGACAGGGGTGACTTGGAGCGGGGTCGGTGAGGGGAGCCGTGCCAGGAGGCAGCGCGGGGTGTGAGACGGCGGGCACTGTCA